ATGTTCCCTGGAGTCAAGGATTCTGAAGCTTCGTCTGACATACTTTCGGCATGTTGCAAGGAAGGGCTGGTCCTTGGAGAGGGACATCATGCTTGGGAGAGTGGAGGGACGGTGCAGGAGAGGAAGACCCTTGATGAGATGCATCAATTCTGTGAGTGGAGTGGTGGGAATGAGTGTGTTTGAGACAGCGAGGTTGGCACAGGATAGAATGGTGTTTAGGGCTCTTGTACATAGATAGGGTCATTGTGAGTCGCAAAAGACTCGATGGCACATAACAACAACACTGAAATAAATCAACTCAGTCATCAAGCCTTTCTTCCAAGGTCTCTCTGTATGGACATGAGCCTCTAATGCTTCAGTCATTAGCTGATTGGTATAAAACATTTGTACTACCCACATGGAGTTGTCATGAATCAACTCCACAGCCATTGGTAAAGAAGACTATCATTTAACACGTTGCCACAAATGACGGCAAAATGTTTCTAAGAGTGGTCATCACTTTAAAAGTGTGCGGCAACCTGTTAAAAAAAATCTACATGGTTATAGCTACTGAAGACCTGATATAAAGTGATCTTGAAATTATTAAAATAAGAGCCTGGTGGTATAGTGGGTTAAGTGTTGGATTGCTAACCAAAAGATTGGTGGTTAGGACCCCCCAGGGGCAGAATGAGGCAATTTGCTCCTAATTAGGATTTACAGCTTCAGAAGTATCATGGGATAGTTCTACTCTATCCCGTAGCGTTGCTGTGAATCCATTATGACTTGACAGCAGTGAGTTTTGGTTTCGGTGATGATTAAATTCCTCCTTCCTTTTTGTGGAGCAAACCCTGACTTAAACCCACAAGAGTGGAATCAGTCATTAGGACCTGGGGAAGCTGGGGGTTCATAAGTCCCTCTCAGTTGCATGCTTACCTTGCAAGCAACTTGCAGAGGGAAACGTAAGATATTATAAACCCCATCTGAGGACCCAGCATTAGGTGGATTAAAACAACTGACTTAAAGGATATAATTCAGTTCCTCTCCAGTCAAGAGTTCTACTTGTAGCTTTAGAAGTGTGGGTGGGATGCAAAGTTTTTACTTGAACTATTTTGATGTCCTCTAGGCCTGTGACAAAAGGCAAAGCTGCAGCTACATCCCAACCCTCTTGTCCCCAATTATATGCTTGAGAAGGCCTTGTACGAAACAAGACAGGTGTAGCCCTACAGAGCTCTGGGAAAGATTTAGAGTGAGCCCATGACTAAGCAGTGATGTGAGCCAGGAACAAACACACTCAACAACTGCTTCGTGGTAATGTCACTTGAAGCCCATTAACTAGAAGGAAAACAACTCCATCTATCACAGATTAGACATGTTTTTTTCCCTGAGTTCCTTGCACATATCCTTGCAGGCAAGCACTAAGCAGCTAAACCCTTATCCCAGGCTGCCTTGCGCAGACCTCTACCCAGGTGACACTCAGTGGTAGTTCACCGTTTGTCACAAGAATCATGGTGTTGACCTATGTATGTAAATTCTCTAATAGGGCCTTATTGATCAATTTGATTTTTATTGCTTTTCCCAGAAATTGTCCTGTGCCACTCTGAGCGTCTCTGGACTCTGGACTAAAGAGGTGCAAAAATGCTCTTTCCACAGCTACCACTCTGGATGACCATCTCAAGTCAGCAAGCCCTTGAAATTCAGAGACTTAATCTCAGAAGTCTTTTAATGTTTAACATTCTAGATTAAGATATCTTAAACAAGGATTGGGCATGTTAATTTCCCAGTGATATTTGAATTTCCAATAGACAACAAGCAATTGTTTTTTGTAAAATCATGCTCCACTTCAAAACCCATCTTCTGCGTTGCCACTGAAGATAGTTTGGTTTGCCATCTCCTTTAAGCATCTGCTATGGACAGGAGAGTGAGTCATGGAAAGAATAAAACCAGAGTATACCTTAGAAGTGAAGAGGGCTCATTAACTTTGGACAAGTTGTGAGGAAAGATCAATCACTGAAAAATACATCATGTTTATAATGTTGTCTTGTACTTTCGAGTTGAAACGGACTCATAATTGACCCTCCACTGGTTTTTCAGAGACATGTGGTTTAGATCCCCCAGCAGCTCTGCAGGAGAAAGGTGAGCAATCTCTTTCTGTGTAATTTACAGCCTCTGAAAACCCATTGGAGGGTATGGGTTCTACCTTGAAGGCACGTACCACCACACACACATATAGGATAAGGAACCCTGGTGATGTAGTGGATAATGTATTGAGCTACTAAGCTTTTGAATCTCCTGGTCACTCCAAGAAAGAAAAATGAAAAGTTTTCTCCCGTAAAGGTTTACAGCCTCAGAAACCCTGTGGGTTGGAACTGACTCAACAGCAGTGAGTTTGTTTTTTTTATTTTGTTTTGTTGGTTTTGGGGTTGTTTTTTCAGGGTGTGTGTGTGTGTGTGTGTGTGTGTGAAAGAGAGAGATGTATTTGTATGGGATCGCACAGGACTAAGACCAGGACCAGTGTTGTGTATTTTTTTGTTTTTGTTTTTGCTGTATATAGAGTTGCTGTAAATGGGAACCTACTCATTGGAGCCTAATACCACCCCATCATGTCATCTGTAAAGAAAATAGTTTTACTTCTTCCTTTATGATTTGTGTATCATTTCTCCTTCATGTCTTGTTTCTCTGGCTAGGACTTCCAGTACAATGTTGAATAAGAGTGATAGAAATAGGCACCATCATTGCATTCGTTCCCAGGATCAATGGGCAGTCTCTCACCCTTTCTCCATTGAATCCAATGGAGAAATTGCTAGTTGTGTGTTGTTGTTGTTGTTGTTGTTGTTGTTATGTGCCATCGAGTCACTTGCGACTCATAGTGACCCTTTGAACAACCCTAAACCCTGCTCTATCCTGTGTCAATCGCACTGCCTCTGACACACCCATCCCGATCACCCCAGTCACTGAATCAGTCCACCTCATAGAGGGTCTTCCCGTCCTGCATTCCTCCCAAGCATGATGTCCCTCTCCAAGGACCTGTCCCTCCTTAGAACATGTCCAGAGTATGTCAGACGAAGCCCCAGAATCCTTGCCTCCAAGGAGCAGCCTGGTTTAACCCTCTCCAGGATGAATCTGTTTGTTTTCCTAGCAGTCCAGGGTACTCTCTCTACTCAAAGGCATTAATTCTCCTCCTATCCTTCCTAGTCATTGTCCAACTCTCTGATGCATAACAAGTGATTGCAAAGACCATAGTTGTGCGTAGATGCCCTTAATTATTTTGAAAAATTTCTTATTTTGAAGACTGCTTTTATAAGGAAAGGATAATTGACTTTATTTAATGTCTTTTCTGCATCAAATGATAGGACTACACAATTGTTTTCCATTGTTCTGTTTATTTTTATGATGAATTACATTGATTTTGTAATGTTGAACTACCCTTATAATCCTAGTCTAAATTCACCTGATAATGGTATATGGGGATTTCTTTTATATATTGCTAAAGTCTGTTGGGTAGGATTTTGTTGAAAATTTTTACATCTATGTTCATAAAGGATTTTAGTCAGACCATATTTTTGTGCAAATAACACACCCCTTCTATATTTGTTTACCAACTGCTCCTTCCTCCTGAGAGGTATTTTTTTTTGTTTTTTTTGTGTTCATGTAGTATTTTATTTGCTGACCTCCTTTGAGACATAGCAAAATTCATACTGATGATGGAACTTCCCATACTGAAATGTTACTCAACATGACAAATTCCTAACAAAAAATATTTTCATGTAGTCCCTTCATTTCCTGTTTAAGAAATCAATATGCGGAGATTATATTTAGTAGGTAAAATTCAGGTTACAAAGATAAATATCAAATATTGTACTCAGAGCCCTAATTTGTCAATCATGCTTCACACGGAGAGACGAGGGCAGAGGTGTGCACGTCAAAGATTCCTAGAGATTTAAGACTGAAGGATTCAAACATCCCTTGGCCTTCTGAGAAACTCCAGATGGGAAACATGTAGTAAATATTTCTGTAATATGGTGATTTGGGTCCATTAGAGATCATAATTTGGTTTAATCCATAAAAGTTAACTGAAGTTGTTCTGATCACCAAAAAAAGCATCACAGTCAATCACCTCTCAACACACAATGGTACTCAGATATCTTCTCTTCAGAAATAGAGTTCAAATCTGAAAGGTTTACGGTAAAGCATCATTGTTATTCAAAATTACTTTTAGATATAATTGAGATTATAGTACTATATATGATTAGATACAATATTGTGCATAGTTAATTCCAGTGGCCCTATTTTCTTTTTTAAGTCGATAGCATAAATTTTTATGCTCCAGAAGAAATATTAATCTAATAAACTGTTTACATTTCATTTTCTCTTAAAGAAAGATTAAATTTAAGGGAGAACTTGCCTCTCCTGATACTTCATTTTCAAATTAGTGATACAAATTTACCACAGAAATAAATCTATATTTTGCCCAACATAAAATAACCTGCAAAGAGTTCCTAAAATTAGATGTATATCTTGTCAATTTGCAAAAATAAATAACAACCCTCTAGCTCTCTAAAGTAAAAGTTAAAAACCAAAGTACAAAAAAAAATCTCTCAGATTTTTGAATAGCTTGTTCAGTTACATGAAGTACTTCCTGTCCCAAAACTTTCTCAAATTCAAAAGACATTTACTTCTTAAACATGACAGTCTTCTGTTTGAACCAGTCTGTTTCCATGGCAACACTGCAGGATTCCTTGGTGACCATAAGTCGCATTAGCTGACTGTGGAATTTCTCAATCTTCTTTACATCTTGAGCTTGGTCTGTTCTATACACCAAACAAACTAAATCATCTGTTACTTTAATACACCGACTCCCATCAGTATGCCAGTATTTGAGAACCACACGGACCTTCATGGTGTCAGCGAGGTAGAGCTTCTCTGCTGCGCGGCTGAACTCCTCCCAGGTTTGGTACTGCGGCATCGCTGGCCCGGGTGGGAGAGGTGAGGGAGGCAAGGCCACGGGCCAAAGGCAGCGAGGGGGAAGTCGGGCTGCCCACCGACAGACTTCCTGATCTCCCTCAGCCACCACCACTCCCTGAGAGGTATTTTTGTAAACTACTGTGTTATTTTTCTTTTTCACAGCAACAAGTAAAAAAGAAAGTTGGCATAGTGGTATTTACAGAAATATTTCCTCTGGTGAAGGGGTGGTTGACAGACATAGAAGGTGTATGTAGTTGGCTTTATAATATAGTTAAATTTTCTTTTTTTGTTCTGTCTTTGCCTGGTTTAGGTAGTGGAGTTACCCTGGATTTCTAGCAAAGTTTAGTGGTATTTCTTTCTTCCTCTTCTGTTTGTTTGTGGTGTTTTTTTTTTTCAAAGAGATTAGGTAGAATCATTGACAGCTCTTCCCTAAACATTTGGTACAGTTCTCCAGTGTAGTCTGGAGCTTTGTTGTCAGCAGTTCTTGAGGTTTCCCCAACTTTATATTGTTTTGTTTGCCTGTATGTGGAGTTGCTATACCGTCCATACACATTCTTAAAAATTTCTCAGAATATTTTTTAGATTTAGTATATTTTAATTTTTTATTGATTCACATACAATAGTTAATATACATTGTATAAAATGTACATGAATGTATGTTGTTGTTAAGTGTTGTTGAGTCATAGATGACTCATAGCGACCCTGTGAATGAAAGACCTGATGAACACTTGTATAACTTTCATCATTTCTCCCAAGTTCATAGGGTTTCTGGAGGCAAGCTATTTCAGAAGTGGATGCCACTCCTGCTTCCAAGCTTGTTTTAAACGGGGAGCTCCACCAAACACTGTCCACCATGGGTAACCATTACTGCATTTGACACATCAGTGTCACAGTGTTCAGCATCACAGCAACCACGAATTATCTCTGTACAGCAAATGGGCAGACTAGTGTTATACCACTTAGAAGAATGTTTGACCAAAACAAAAACAGGCCTGAGGGCTATGGATTAAAATTACCCACATTTGACTTGGTAGCATTGCTTTCTGTCCACTAAGCCAATTGAGTTATCTCTACGATGTTGCTGTTGTTGTTGTTAAGTGCTTTTGAGTTATAGATGATAGTGACTCTATGAATGAAAGACCTGAAAACTTGTATAACTTTAAAAATATGGAATGCTTCACAAATTTGTTTGTTCTTTTGGAAGTCCATGGGATGTTCAGTGCTCTTCTCCAACACCACAGCTCAAAGACATCAGTTCTTCTGTCATCTTTATTCATTACCCAGCTCTCAGATTCACAGCAAGTGATCAGCTGGAATCAGACACACCTTAGTCCTCAAGCTGACATCATTACTCTTCACTAATTTGTGACTGAGGTATATTTCACTCAGCATAATGTCCTCCAGGCTCAAACCTGTTTTGTAATATTGTATAACTTCATTGTTTTTCACTGCTGCATGACACATTCACATTTTGTGAATGAACCATAGTTTATCTATCCATTTGTTTGTTGATGAGCACTTGTGTTGCTCCCATCTCTTTGCTATTATGAATAATGCAGCAATAAACATGGATGTGCATATATCTGTTTGAGTTGTGGCTCTGGTTTCTTTAGAGAATATTCCATGTAGTAAAATTGCTGGGTCTAATGGTATTTCTCTTTGAACCTTTTTGAAAAAGCACCGGATTGCTTTCCATAGTAGCTGTCCTATTTTACATTCCCACCAGCAGTGTATAAGAGTTCCAATCTCTCCACAACCTCACCAGTATTTGTTGTTCACTACCCTGTTGATCTTTGCTTTTATTGCTGGGGTGAGATGATATCTCACAGTTGTTTTGATTTATATTTCTCTGATAACTAGTACTTTTTAATATTTCTTCATGTGTTTATTTGCCATCTGAGTGTTGTCTTTGGTAAAGTGTCTATTAATATCTGGTGCCCATTTTGCAATTGGATTGTTGTGATTTTGGACTAAAAGTTGGCTTTTGGGTTTGATTTTTTTTTTTTCTTTCAGCCATTCGTTAGCAACATCTGGACTCTAGCTACCTTAACTGTAGGCATATGGTTGGCAGCATAGTCTTACAAATCAACCTGGTCTTGCAAATCATTGGTAACTGTGGGACTAAGATAAGAGAGAGTGCTTCCCACAGTGAGCAGCAAGATTTGATGTGGGCAAGACTTGAGGCAAGCAAAGCTTCTGGCAGCAAGACTCTGATGAGAGTCAGACCCTGGTGGTGGAGAGATTGTGGCTTTGCTTTGGAGAAACAGTGGCAAAGTGTGACCTGAGGCTTCTTGGATTTTTGCTGGCCACAGTTAAAGGTTTGGCTGTTCTTGCCGGATGTTTGAAGCAGAAGCTGATTTATAACTGCTCTGAAGCAAACCTTGCTGGATGATTTGGTTATAACTACTCTGAGGCAAACCTTGCTGGATATTTTGGATTTGACTGCTGAACTGAAACTGGAACTTGGATTTATTGAGGAATTGTGCTTGGGGACTGCTTGGCTAAAACTTGGATTTACATTGGGTTATATTCTTTGCCTCCCCCATTCTCCCACTTACTTGCCTAATAAACCCCATTCTCAGTACCACAGCTTTGAGTCGGCAATGAATAAAAAAACTCTTTCTCTTGGTGGAGCTCTACAGGCACTATGGGGCTGTGGTACAGATTCCTGATCTGCTTTCTGTTCTGGGACGCTGTGGGGATATGCTGTTTTATTCTCTCTGGTCCTTTCAGAGAGATGTTCGCAGCCCTATGCCCTCATGTCCCATTTTTTCCCACTGAGACATTTTGCTTACCTTTTTCTTGTTGACGTGCTGAAGTATTCTAAAATTTTTAACTATCGCAACTTAATCAGATATGTCATTGCCAAGTATTTTCTCCTAGTCTGTGGGTTTCATTTTTACCCAGTAGTAGAAGTTTTTTGATGTGCTTAAGGATTTGATTCTTAGAAGGTCCTGTACATCTGTTTTATTCCCTCCTGGTTGTAGGGTTTTCATTATGCTTGTAAGTCTGTTCATGCTGTGGATTGGGGCTTCTAGAGTTATCCCTGGCTTTTCTCTGATAAATTTTATACTCTTTATTCTTACTCCTAGGTTCCTGATCCACCCTGAGTTGGGTTTTGTGTATTGTGTAAATTATGAGTCTTTTTTGTTCAGATGGTTTTCCAATTTTGCCAACACATTTTTTTAAAAGAGGCTGTTGTTTCCCCACTTAACTGATTTCATCTCTTTATCAAAGGTCAGTTGACTATAGGTAAATTAGCAAATTTCTGGATTTTCAGTTTTATTCTATTGATCTATGTGTCTGGCTTTATCAGTACCATACTGTCTTTACCCTCCCTTTTCAAAAAATTTTAATTGTGATTTTAATGAAAGTTTACAGAAAAATTGAATTTTCATTCATTCATTGTTGCACATTTTTCTACCTCCCCCTCCCCCAGTTCCCTTTAAAACATTTTTTCCAACTAGTTTATTTACAAAATTCTAATACAAATTTGAACAAATCTTTCAATTTCCCTCACCCTCTGTGCTTCTTGTTCTTTGCTTTTTTTAATGTGATGAATTACATTAGTTGTTGTTATGTTGACCCATCCTTGCTGTTATTAATCCCACTTGGTTATGATGAATTATTTCTTTTTTTTTAATTTAGGTTGTTTATTTTTCATTTCAATGAACATCTACAGAGATTTTGGGATTCCATTCATTCATTGTTGCACCCTTCTCCCGAATTATTTCTTTTAATATACTATTGGATTCTGTTGGCTAGGATTTTATTGAGGATTTTTGCTTCTATGTTCATGAGAGATATTGGTCTGTAGTTCATATTTTGGTGGTATCATTACCTGACTTTGGTGTTAGGGACATATTTGCTTCATAAAATGAGTTTGGGAATATTGCATCTTTTTCTAATTGCTGAAATACTTTATGTAGAATTGGTTACAGCTCTTCTCCGAATGTTTGATAAAATTCACTAGTAAAACCATCTTGCCCAGAGATTTATTCGGTAGCAAGTTTTTTATAACCTGTTCGATTTCTTTTGTAATGATTCTTTTTAGGTGTTCTACTTCAGTCTGTGTCAATTTGGGTAGGTTGTGAGTTTATAAGTATTTGTCCATTTCCTGTAAGTTTTCTGTTTTAGTTTTTCATAATATCCCATTGCCAACTTTTTTATTTCAGTTGGTTCTGTTGTGACATTGCCCCTTTTATCTCTTATTCATATTCTTGTGGGTTTTTTTTTCTTTCATTTCCTTTGATAGCTTTGCAAGTGGTTTGTTGATTTTATTGACCTTTTTGAAGAACCAACTCCTGATATTGTTGATAGTTTCAATTGTTTTTCTGTTTTCTATTTCATTTTTGGTGGACCGTGTTTGGTGTAGTTCCCCAGTTAAAACAACAAGCTTGGAAGCCACAGTGGCATCCACTTCCAAAATAGCTTGCCTCCTGAAACCCTATGAACCTGGAGAAAGGATGAATGTTATGCAAGTGTTCAGAGTCACTTTGAGTTATCTATGACTTGATGGCACTTAACAACAACAACAACAATTTTTATAATTCCCTGCTTTTAGAGATTGTCAGGTTTTCTTGCTGTCCTTTTTCTCCTTCTTGGAAATGGTAGGTTAAATAATTGATTATAATTTTTTCCAACACTTTTGATGTGTTTGCTTATTGTTATGAATTGATCTATAATTACTGCTTTTGCTATATCAGAGAGGTTTTGCTCAGTTGTATTTTCACTCTTGTTTTTTTCAAGAAATTTTTTTCATTTCATTTTTTATTTCTTCTATTACCCACTCATGTTCAAGCAGGGTGTTATTCAAGCTTCCAGGTTTATGTTTTTCTTCTCCTTTACTTTCTTTTTGTTGATTTCTAATTTTGTAACATTGTGGTCTGAGAAAATGCTTTGCTTTATTTCTGTGTTTCAATTTATTGAGGCTTGTTTTGTGACCTAAAATACGATCTATTTTGGAGAATGTTCTATCAATGCTGGAGAATAATGTGTAAT